CGGCACCCGCGCCCGTCCGGTCACAGCTGGGCACCGTCCGACACTGATCACCGCGCGTGGTCAACTCGGCATGGTTCCTGGCCGGCCGGCCGCTCGGCGCTCCGACACGCAGTCGGGCACCGACACCACGCGGGGGAGCCGCTCGCCGTCTCAGACCGCCGTAACGCACAGCTGTTCGCTGCCAACGACCCGCCGCCGGCCGCGGCACGCCGCCCCACGCGGCACGTCTCCGCAGGACGCACCATCACAGGCAAATGTACCGGCTCGGCGCGCCTGCTCAACGAGACGACAAACCTTCCCGCGGCTCAGCCGCTCAGCGCAGCGAGAACAATCGTGGAATAAACCACCGACGCGTCCATAAACGTCCACCAGTGCCGCGGTTAGAACAGAGCGAGGAATGCGGTCAGTGGTCGAGCGCGCGTGGCGGGCGTCCGTGCTACGCGAGCGTGGGGCGTGTGGCAGGGAGGGAGGCACGGGAGGCACGCGGTGAGTCGGCAGGGGAGGGCAATTTTCGGTCGTTCCCCCGCTACCAGCTGGAATCGGTCACGCCTCCGTTGGGTCGTGTTCCGGGGCTGGGGTGGCGTACCGGGGCGAGGGGGCGTGGTTGTCACTGCCACAGGAACCTGTCACGGATTGTCAACTGATGTCTGTGGAATCCTACAACAGAGCCTCATCAGCTCTACCGCAGGCTCCCTTGGCACGGGGCTTTGATGGACACTGACTACATTAATTCGAATAATGGTGAACTGACCAACGAACTATCACGGTAGCCATCAACTACCCTGCCAAGCAGCGTATCAAAAACATCCTGCCTGGTTCACCCACTCTTCCATAACCACACCTGACTGCCTCACTCCCTGCTAGTGCAGCCCAGCTCCGCCGGCCGCCCTGTCTCTCCATTCAACCGACCTAACCGTGCCGGTGTGGACCGTGTACCACATTATGCAGCCGCCCGGCCACTGGAAGGTCAGCGGGCCGAGCCGAGTCGCCGATGATCACCGCAGATAGGGGGACAGCCTGCGCCGCTGAGACCCATCAGGGGAGGGGGTGCATTAAGGTCGCATCAGCTTTACAAACCGGCCTTGTGTTGGTGGGTTAGCGAGCGAGGGGATGTTGTTGCAATAGTGGCCAGAAGAGGCGTCTGGTCAGTGCTGTCCCTAAGATGGAGGACAGACACGGGTGGCGTTGTTGGTAAATGGAAACTGTGCCGTATCTGTCAGCGTTAGCGGTCGAAGGTCATCAGACCTGGACGTGCGGACGTGATATCATTAGGTTGACTGTCATGGCCAGCTCGATAGCGTGACCTTTTGTGTCACTGGCTATCCCCAGTGCGATGTCGTTAGCAATGGAGCGGGGACGTTGCCACAAAAGACACAATGACAATGATCGCACTACTCGCAGCTCGCCTGCCAAAACCTATCATTTGGCCAGCACGGCCTGATCATTGACTGAAAGCAGGAGTGATCGTTTTCACTCGTCATCCCGTTTTTGTGCCGTCGAGTCGGGGTCATTTCCGCGCTGGCTCCCATTAGGGTCATTTGCAGGGTGCCCCCGGCGCGCGGTCCATTTCCCGTGGGCTTGTCAATCGATGGTTGTCGTTCCGCCTGGCCGACCTGTGCTCGTGTCACGGCTCGTGATCCTGTCCCGTGGGGAGGGGGAGGGTCGCAGGAGGTGCTTCCTGCCCGCGCGCGCCGCTGATCGGACGGTGGAAGCGACATTGGACTGAGTCCCAATCGCTGAGCTGGGGAGAATCGCACACAAAATTTCTGACTAACCTGGGGCTAGGCTTCGAGGTTTGATTTACTGCCAGAGTTTACTGGATAGGTACTGTATACTTTCCAGAGTATTCACCTTCCATTGATTCTGCGACTCGGGTGGCTGTGACTTGTCTCAGCTGACAGCGATGGACGCTAATGTATTCGCCGGAGGGACATTTACCTTCCACGGCCGACTGTGACCTGCAGGGCGGCCCCGGCTCTCAGGCCCGGCCGTCCTGCATTGGCTATCTGATCCTCGGATGCCGACTCATGAATGGACCAGTCCTGCCCGAGTCGCGCCGGTTTCGAGTCAAATGAGTCACCGCTCCGGCCGACTCTGCGCGGTTTGCTCAGGGGAGCAGTACTGTCAATGGCGGCCGGGTCCGGCCTCTTGTCAGATCCGGGGGAGGTGGAACATGATTTCAGTAACGGTATACCCGCATTGAATCTCATCCACTCCGCTTTCAGTGCAGTGTGTGGGAAACTGAATGTCGCCGGTCCCGTCTGCCAGTCGCTGATCGTGTGACCGTTTTGTCCGGTGCAGCGGTATCAGCTGGTTACAGACCTCGTGAAGTCCGCGGCAGAAGCGTGCCGTGCTGATTTTGAGGAGATTGATGGTCCAGCGAACTCGGGTGTCAGTATCCGAGTATCCGAGCGTTAGATCGGCACGTTGAATCGATATGCACGCGAAGGGTGGAGTGATATTTGAGCAGCCACACAGCTGTTGCGATTGCGCACGAGTTGAGAAGCTCCGGAAGCTACGCTTATCATCGGAGATCCCTCGGCGGGGCTGTGGAATTTGCGTGTCTAGCAAATGACTGAAATGGAAGCTGTCGACTGTCGAGTCATCTCCGTTGTGGGGGTCAGACGTGCCACCATAGACATCCGGCGCGCCGGGGGGGGGGGGGCGGGTGTCTGACTCTGGACCCCCGCCGCCGCCGCCGCGGCCGGTCGCTGCCCCTGAGACGGCCGAGGGCGACTGTACCGCAGCATACCGTGATCGGACCGTGGATGTGTGCCACGGTGCCGTGGGCAGTTTCACGGCCGGTACCGGCGCCGGACGGCTAAACGACTTTCGCCGCGGGCTGCCTGTCGGGCCGGTGAGACTTGCTGTGTAGGTCAGCCAGCGCTGGACACGGGCGCCGCTGCCGCTGCCGCCCACCGTCCACCGCCCAACGCCCACCGCCCACCGCCCACCGCCCACCGCCCGCCGCCGCGTCGCGACGCTCCGATCTCCTGTCCCCAATACACCGGAGATGACCCATATTACTGGCCAGCGGGCTGACTGCAAGCGGTGGTCAGCAGGCCGGGAGACAGCTCGGTTAGCACGGGTGTTAGCCACCAGCTGAGAACGGGGACGGGTCTGTATGGGAAGTGGCACGGGCGGTGACGCCGCTAAAAACGTGGGAAATTGGTAAACGGAGCGTTCGTAACAGGTGCGCTGCCGTGGTGAACGGTGGAACGTGGTGCGGTCTGGTGGTTAGGATTACACTGTACTTCCGGAGCCGCTCCGATGGGTGTTTGATGAGAGTATTGACACAGTATTGATATCAGATGGGGTCTGATTGGTGTTTGATAGGGGAGTGGACTCGGGGAGGGCGGGGACGCGGGGACATCTGACGCTGGGCTGGCTGGCGGTCCTTGTAAACAGACCCGGCTGATAAGGACAGTCTGGGTCCAGCCAGACACGTCCGAACGTGAACTAGGACCGGCCGGTCAGCACGTGTGCTCTACCGGACTGGACATATGATAGGGAAGCGAGGAGAGCCTTGCCCTGACTGCCGGCTAGAAATGATGAAAATGCTTACCCAACTGAGCTAATGCGCCGCGGTCGTTGTTTGCGTAGTATCAGGTGGCTATCAAGGATGAATTAGGCTGGGGAAGTGGGTTGTGGGTAAATTCCGCACCGACTCTGTAAAACGAGCTCGTCCTCTGCAATTTTTACCGGCTCATCTCTTCCCCATTCCTGATAGGCAATCATCCGGGTGCACACACGAGGAAAATTGGCCGAAATTCGCACACGGGATCGCGTGGCCTTGATCTTCGTGCTGGCTGGTGCCGGCTGCACGGAGCTCCTCTTTCCGTTTTTAGTCGGTGCAAAACCACATCCGATTTGCGACGATCTGCATGCTTAGCTCTGTCAGGGCGGCGGCCGCCTGCCGTCAGCCGTCAGAGAACCGTCCATTGCACAGAGCGCACTATGCACAGGTGGCTGGTTAGATTCGGGTAATGACCAGTAGCTGAACTCCCGGCGGCGCTGTGTGCCAGTTTTGTGCGTCACAGGAAACTCAAACAGCCGTGCCAGTGATACGCAGAGTGCGTGCGGAGGTGTGAATTTCTCAGTTTCGCCGTTCTGCAGAGCGGTGCGCCGAGCGACAGGGACCGGGCAGCGGTGCAGGAGAGTTGGCACGGGCCATTATCCGCCGGCCAAATAAACGCTCGTCTCCGGCGGTGAGTTGTTGGATGATGAGTGACGCGGGCCACCCGCTGCTGAGTCAGTGGCCGACGCGCCGGACCGCTCCCCCGGAGTCGGGGCCGAGTTACGGAGTTACGCCGGACGAGTTACGGACGGAGTTACGCCTGACGAGTTACGGAGTCACGCCGGACGCACGGAATCCGACAAACGCCGCCGAGCTCGGCCGAAATTAGGAACCAGAGGAAAACTTATGTGGATGCTGGACACACCATTAGCTCGAATTAGGAGACAGAAAGAAAACATGTCCGGCAGACGGAGGGTCTGGATGGGCGCCGTTTACCCGGCATCTGATTCAAGAGCGCGTCGATTGGCACTTTGGTGTGCGTCGGTCGACTTACGGAATTTCTCTGGTGCAATCATTTTGTTTCCTGATATGGCGACTTGCAAAAGCGGTAAATGCCTTCGGTTAAAGGAATCGAATGCATCGAATGCTCTAAATGCTGACCGGGAAGAAACGCACTAAAAGTCAGCGTCACGCAAAAGCCATCGTTTAGTTGTCAGTGGATTAAATCCATTGTCTTTGCAAACGGACGGATGAATGTCCGCAATGCTGTTTTTACCTTTGTGGAAGAGAAAGCTCGCGAGGAAGCTATACCGTGTCAACTTATACCCAAATAGCGCACGTGCTAGTTCACGTATGTCTTCACTAGCCTATCCGGTCTAATATGTCTACCCGGTCCAAGATTGCATCCAGTTCGAGTCCCGATCATCCTTACACATACACACTTATCAACTCGTATACTCTGCCTCCCACCTCTTACACTCACCTCTGGCAATGGGCAGCAACAGCAGCAGCAGCAGCAGTGGCAGTGCTAGCAGTACGGCGACTCCAACGCCGCCCTCCCGGCGGGGCGACATCGGCACGGCACGTGGTGGAAGCGGGGGTGGCAGCCGCGGCGGCGGCGCCCGCACTGCTCGGCGGCTCGAGCGCGACTGACGGTCTGGCGGCGGCGGCGGCGGCGGCGGCGGCGGCGGTGGCGGCTGCCGCCCACTGCGACCGGGTGGCACGGATGATGGCGAGATAAAGATATAAGTGCATGCATGCCGACATGCCGGGATTACACACATGGCTAGACGGAGCTGGCGTTTGTGATAGCTGAGATGTAAAATCCTTTATGATGCATTATACGTGTGCTGTCTTGTTTATTCTATGGTCTGCTCTGACTGAAATGCGAACTGAGACATTGCGATATAAGGTATATCTATCTGTATTTCCATTGGTTCAGTAATTTGCGAATAAAACGTTTTTGCTCGTTTACACAACAATTGCTCAGAAATTAAAACTAAACAGAAGCTCAGAAAGCAAACACGGCATGCATCCCTGCTTGTTATAATTAGTGATGTGTTACTTTTCCCCGTTTCGGTACAAAGCCGGCTGCTTTTTGGCCTCGTTGCTGAGTGTGTGCAGCTGCAGCGCTGCGGGTCTGTTTCTCCGTCTGTGCCTGCAGCTGTGGCCGACTGGGAGGGCGCGGTCATCCGTCTCCCGCACAGCCCCTGCCACTGACAGACTGCCATTTGTCACATCACAAACCCCGGCCACGCAACCGCACTCACTCACACTGGCTGCAGATTGGTGCACTTGCCGCTCCCACAGGCTGGGGGGGCGTTCCACGACAAATCGACAAGTGCCCTGCACCCTCATATTTTATTTTTTGCTTAGAATTGGTCTAATGGGTTGTGATGGGCGGGGAAGCCAGCTGTGGCAAGGATTTTTTTCTTCGAACAACTGTTTCCGAGATATAGCCTCGGGCAATTTCTGGATTTCGCGCTGCAGCCCTATGTTTGGCGGCCTATAACTCAGAAACTATTGGTTTCTTACGATAAAAACTTTATATGGTTCAACTCACAATCAACCAACAAACATTTTGGCTATCTCGGATTTTCAATTTTTGAAAATTTTGATCACGTGACCTTTTTTCCTATTTTTCGAAGAGTGACCTTGATGTTTTCCCCACTGAAAGTTGCAATTTTGTCTGATGACGATTAAAGCCTTATCGATTGTCATTCATATGCGGTAATAAAAAAGTGGTTATCGCCCTGCGTTGACCTCAGGTCAGGTCATTTTTATGACCTGTCCATTATTACGAGCGGGAGCGACAGCGAGATCTCGAGAATAAAGCAAGATAGCGACAAGCGGTAAACGGTAAAGGGTACACACGGATAAGGTCTATAATTTTTACTGAGGTCATTTTCAGGTCAGGTCAAAGATGACGTCACAGGAGCTAAAAGGAAGTCAAAATAGCGGCACTATACATATATATGAAGTTTTTCTCGAATAACTTTCAAGGTATCCCAGCTAGGAACAAACTAATAGTACCATCGTGATCCTCTCGTCGATCCGCATCGAAACGTATGTTTGTTGACCTCGAAACGTCGAAAGGTCAAAAGTTGACATTAGGTCACGTGATCTGAGGTCAACTTTTGACCTTTCGACCTTTCGAGGTCAACATACATATGTTTCGATGCGGATCGACGAGAGGATCACGATGGTGCCATTAGCTTGTTCCTAGCTGGGATACCTTGAAAGTTATTTGAGAAAAACTTCATATATATGTATAGTGCCGCTATTTTGACTTCCTTTTAGCTCCTGTGACGTCATCTTTGACCTGACCTGAAAATGACCTCAGTAAAAATTATAGACCTTATCCGTATGTACCCTTAACCGTTTACCGCTTGTCGCTATCTTGCTTTATTCTCGAGATCTCGCTGTCGCTCCCGCTCGTAATAATGGACAGGTCATAAAAATGACCTGACCTGAGGTCAACGCAGGGCGATAACCACTTTTTTTATTATCGCATATGAATGACAATCGATAAGGCTTTAATCGTCATCAGACAAAATTGCAACTTTCAGTGGGGAAAATATCAAGGTCACTCTTCGAAAAATAGGAAAAAAGGTCACGTGATCAAAATTTTCAAAAATTGAAAATCCGAGACAGCCAAAATGTTTGTTGGTTGATTGTGAGTTGAACCATATAAAGTTTTTATCGTAAGAAACCAATAGTTTCTGAGTTATAGGCCGCCAAACATAGGGCTGCAGCGCGAAATCCAGAAATTGCCCGAGGCTATATCTCGGAAACAGTTGTTCGAAGAAAAAAATCCTTGCCACAGCTGGCTTCCCCGCCCATCACAACCCCTTACACCAGTTTTCAACGAAGAATAAAATATGAGGGTGCAAATTTAATTTTTTATTTGTCGATTTGTCGTGGAACGCCCCTGGGGAGAGACGTGTGTATTGGGGACAGCCGAGGCGAGAGCTCGGCTAGGACGTGGCATGGCATGACATACAGGAAGACAAGACAGGATAAGACGTGCTACTGAGACAGAACAGGACAGGACAGGTGGACATATAGGACATGACAGAGGACTGGACAGTGGACACTGGGCAAGACAGGATGTCGGATCATGGATAAGACAGCGCGTTCTTCGTGACATGTGACAAATGAATATGCCGGTTGTCAAAGACAGACGGGCGCACAAAATCGTACAGTCGCGCGTGCAGCTCACTGCTGCTCTGCAACATGCACCGCCCTTCCCACAGCCACGCCGTTTCAAACAAAAGCGCACCTCACACCGACCGCAGGATGAGCAGACAGAGACAGACAGACAGGCGGACCGATGGACGGACGGGTGAAGTCAGCTCCCCGGCGCTGTCAGTTTTTTTACCGGGCCCGTCGGAGTGGGAACTGAGAGTGAATTCTCTCACTGTTATTGGTGCCAACAAACGGCCAGTGTACGAAAGCGAACGCGTGAATTGAAGGCCAGATAGCGTACGCGTAAACAGAGATGCGAGTGGATAGTGTCTGGTCGGTGGATCTGCCTACTCAGGAGACTGACAGTTGATTTGTCTGTGAACATCTTCTGTCAGTGCCGTCACCAACAATGTAACTGGCTGCCGGTCCATCCTTTTGCCTTTGTCGCTCGGTACACTGATAGAGTCACTAACTGTTACAACCTGTATTATTTCCGGCTGCAGCTGCAGCGTCGTGTTGAAATTATTACCGACTTCTTCATATTTTTAATGAATTAACTGAACCGTTGAGATGCAGTGATGACCTTTCCCCTCTGGCTGCTGTTAAATGCCAGAGCAATTGTCTACCCGTTCCGTCCTGCCCGTTCTGCGGCGCGATGACTGGTGACCACCTGTGTCAGGTCAGACACTGGTCAATGCCCCCTCCCCCTCCCCCGGAAGTTGAGCCGTCTGGATGTGTGAGCACGAGGACAGTCTGAGATAGGACACGTTCTGACGGGATTTGACAGGATCGGACGTGACAGAGAGGCAGGTGCTCGACACTTGTCAGCGGGACGGTGGCTCGTCTCAGACACGGAGGCATTCGCCGAAAAGACGGCGGACTTTGACTGACTGGCGACGCGTGTTCTAGTGTTTGGTTTGTTTGAAGTGAGCTTAAGTCCTGGAAAACGTGAGTTCCTCAGAGTTTTGTGAAACAGATATTGTTCCAAGTTCAACATCAAAAGGGTTTTGTCCAGGGATGCGGAGCCGTGGAAATTTCAGACGGCTCCGACTCCGGCTCCGGCTCCGGAGAAAAAAATCGGCTCCGGCTCCGGCTCCGGCTCCGGGTGAAATGTCATGGCGGCTCCGGCTCCGGCTCCGGCTCCGAGTAAAATGATCCGGCTCCGGCGGCTCCAGCTCCGGCGGCTCCGGCTCCGGCTTCTACTAAGTACATCACCTATGCGATCAATTAAATACGGGTGGAAGAAAAAAGGCGATGGGATTGGTGCACGTTGCTACTGTATTTGTATAACAAGGCTATTTTGATTTTTGAATACCACATTGTTTTACGCCTTGTAGGTGGTGGCAGCATTGCTTTGAATGCGAGGCGAGGTGTAACCGTGTATGCGAACACTGAAGGTAGAGAACACTGACCAGGACCTCGACGGTCCCTACTGTCAAACCGAACTAGGTAAATAATTGTTTACTCTAAAGAAAAGGAGCCGGAGTCGCCCCCTTTTTTGACGGCTCCGGCTCCGGCTCCGGCTCCGGGCTACATTGTTTCACGGCTCCGGCTCCGGCTCCGGCTCCGGGCAAAATATACCGGCTCCGGCGGCTCCGGCTCCGGTTCCGGCTCCGCATCCCTGGTTTTGTCCCTTCTTTTCCATGAATGTCAGCATGGCGGGATCATATGGTGGTTTTGATTGTTTTGGCTTCGTCCCTTGGGGTAATATGGTCTAGGGTTGCGCATCAGGCGAAATGTTTTCTCTTGGTTTGAGCATCATTCTTATTGCTGTGGAGAATCACACTTCGAATTTGTCTCAGCAGCGCCGCTAGTCTCAAATGAATTTCCGTTCATTTTTCATGATCTTCATGACCCCATTGATCGAACTCATTAGTCACTACAGCGTTATTGCATGTACGGTGTCGCCGAGTTTGCGCCTAATTTGCAGCCATTTTGAGGGAGTGAAACAGGCACCATGACGTCCCTCGGTGTACGCTGTGTCCGTCCTTCTCTCGCGGCTCGCTGTGTGGCATGTCCTTTCCTCCCTGTGTGGTGTGTCCTTTCCTGCCCGTGTGGTGTGGATTGCGTGTGACTCATGAACACGCCGTTGTGGATGCCGCTACCGTTGCGGACATGTGTCGAGAAAGGACACACACCGAGTTGGCCTGATGTGGCAACGGCCCACGCGAGGCTGTGACCAAGGCTGGCACTCCAAGATATCGACGTAGAATAAGTGACTGATAATTGGGTCCCCTGACTCTCTAAACCACTGACAATTGACATGGTCGTGCTGCCTTATGCTGGCACTTTCTTTTGATACATAAAGAAGACAAAGAATCAGCCTAGTCTCATCGTATGGACTCTCCCCACGCGCTGGCGCTCAGGCGCGTGTTTTATATCGCCACCACCACAGAGGGAGTCGGCTGGCAGATGCCAAAACACGTCCAAATCCGGGCTCAGAGCGGTTCATCACGC